AAAACTAAAAGTAAACAAGACAAAAATATCGGTATACGAATCAAAATTAAAGAACACATAAATCTTTTCATTATTGACAGGTGAAAACAGGTAAGGAACTTAATATTGATAAGAAGTTTTAATAAACAACCTTAGCAAACTGCTTGGAAAGAGTCTTGTCAACCCATATGACGTTGTATATTTGTTTGAACGTCGAGATACTAGACCTTAAAACTTTTTGATATCTCGTAGTCGTGGAGCTCCACTAAAGCGCTGATTCTTTTTTTTAATCAAGTTATTGAAGATACCATGCTCTTTAACAAGGTTTGGCCATAAAAAGTGGATATGATATGGATTCTTGGAAATGGTTTTCTGTTGCAATACACTTATCTAATGACACTACATTCGATTAATTTTTGTGTTTGTAATTCACTTTATAACAGTCTTTTGAGGAAGAATAGGTTCAGTTAGTTACTCTACAATCTATTGATTACTTTACAATTCTCTGTTATATATTTTAATAGTAGAATAACCTTAAAAATTTATTATGGGCTAATAAAAAATCAACTGATACACAATTCGAAGAAAATTTCACTTTCTCCATAGGTAATGAGACTGAGCAAATGCATTGAAACCTGTTTAATATCGAAACCAGTTCTGTAAATTGACTGATATCTTCTGATTGGTATTAAAACACTGTATAATCACATCAGAATTCTCTTCTTATTTAAATATTTGTGGCACCCAAAATTTGTAATGATGAAAGAGGGCGGGTATCCGATAGTCGGGAACTTGATTTTCTCAAAAGTGATTTCATTTTCATCGTGTAACTAGATCGAATGTCGCGTTCAAGATATGTTTACCCATGTGTTACAGACACTTCTCGACCTTTTCCATTATCGATATAGGCCATCTGTAACCTACGAAATTTAACACACGAGGCAGCCCTATAAAAGCGAATCGCTGCATTGTCTTAACCAACAGTTAGCTTTCATCCCTTCACCAAAGAACAACAACCCTCCGAAAAATGTACCTCTTCGGCGTGTTTTTACTATTGGTTGGCACACACATCTGCTTCATAGATGCGGCTTTCGGAAATGGTGAAGGAAACGACTATACTTTTGGAGTACAAGCTACAACTGATAGCCTCATCGCTAGTGAGACTGTAACAAGACCTAAAGCGTTGTTTGGTACTACTACGAGGACGTACACTCTAACGCAAGCTGGAACGGCTAGGACCATAACATACATCAAAATCACGGATCTGATGAGAGCTCGAGGTGCTACTGCCGATATTACCGCCGGCGGTGTGGGTGCCACCACGGTCACGATCAGATTTACCTCAGCCCGGTCGGCTGGTATTAGGTCCCAAGTGGTAATATACGGATCTTAATAGTTCTGTACGAATTATAGACCGTACATGTCTTAAAATAAATCAAAAATATTGTGTTCATATAAATTATAAAATGTGTTCATCCACTTCACATTCATAAAATAAAGTATTTTAAATCTTAAAATTTGCTTGGAACTTATTTCTAGAAGATGGTAAATACTTGATAAAATGTACTGTTCGATATCTGAAAGTAAGAAAATAAAAAATGATTCAATTACATAACTTTTTCAACAAATATTATCAAAAATTTTATTACGGCTTATATTATAAATTGTAAGGCAAGAAACAAAACACTCTTCAATAAGATTCTTCAAAGATTCTCCAAAGATAGTTCGTCAGGCGTAAAAGATAGGGAATAGTTATCTTCCAGGTCTCATCGAGCATTATCAAAATTGAATCCAGGCGACTCGGGTACACATATGAATTTAGGAATAAATATACATACAAGGCAGTATAAATCAACTGCGGCGCATCCATTCCACTGAAATGCGAATCCGACTGCTGACAAGTGTCAGTGTGAAAATTTTACTTTCTCGATAGATAATGAGATTCAACAAATGCATTGAAACCTGTTTAATATCGAAACACTGTATAATCACATCAGAATTCTCTTCTTATTTAAATATTTGTGGCACCCAAAATTTGTAATGATGAAAGAGGGCGGGTATCCGATAGTCGGGAACTTTATTTTCTCAAAAGTTATTTCATTTTCATCGTGTTTGCCCATGTGTTACAGACACCTTTCGACCTTTTCCATTATCGATATAGGCCATCTGTAACCTCCGAAATTTAACACACGAGGCAGCCCTATAAAAGCGAATCGCTGCATTGTCTTAACCAACAGTTAGCTTTCATCTCTTGACCAAAGAACAACAACCTTCCGAAAAATGTACCTCTTCGGCGTGTTTTTAATATTGGTTGGCACACACATCTGCATCATAGATGCGGCTTTCCGAAATAGTGAAGGAAACGACTATACTTTTGGAGTACAAGCTACAGCTGATACCCTCATCGCTAGTGAGACTATAACAAGACCTAAAGCGTTGTTTGGTACTACTACGAGGACGTACACTCTAACGCAAGCTGGAACGGCTAAGACCATAACATACATCAAAATCACGGATCTGATGAGAAATCGAGGTGCTACTGCCGAAATTACCGCCGGCGGTGTGGGTGCCACCACGGTCACGATCAGATTTACCTCAGCCCGGTCGGCTGGTATTAGGTCCCAAGTGGTAATCTACGGATCTTAATAGTTCTGTACGAATTATAGACCGTACATGTCTTAAAATAAATCAAAAATATTGTGCTCATATAAATTATAAAATGTGTTCATCCACTTCACATTCACAAAATAAATTATTTTTAATCTTAAAATTAGCTTGGAACTTATTTCTTGAAATTATTTCTAGAAGATGGTAAATACTTGATAAAATTTACTGTTTGGTATCGGAAAGTGAAAATACAAAAAATTATTTAATCACATAACTTATTCAACAAAATATTATGACTTCTTTTATTATAAGGCAAGAAACAAAACATTCTTTGGTAAGATTCTTCAAAGTTTCTCCAAAGCTAGTTCGTCAGGCGTAAAAGTTAGGGAATAGTTATCTTCCAGGTCTCATCGAGCATTAGCAAAATTTAATCCAGGCGACTCATAAGGAAATGCTATTAAGATACGAGCGGGTACACATATGAATATAGGAACAAATATACATACAAGGCAGTATAAATCAACTGCGGCGCATCCATTCCACCGAAATGCGAATCCGACTGCTGACAAGTGTCACCGAGAGATGCTATGACAAAGTGTCAAAAGAATGTTTGACATCTGACTGGCTGTGCCTGTCTCTTTCGCTCTGGTATCCCCCTCTCGTTCGCTCCGCTCGCCCCATCTCGTTCACGCTCACTCAGAGGGCAGCTTGTGTAGCCTGTCCAAATGTACATTTCTCATATCTCCTCGGAGTTCTCCAATGCTGGTACTTCTTTTCCCCTCTTTTTCTGCAGGGCTTTCATATTGCCGCTTTTTTTGCCGCCGCTGCCGCTTTTTCTTATATTTATCCATATATTGCCTGGTTCCAATGGGATGATGATGCGGGATGGCCAGGTAGGGATGCTCTGGATAAGGGAAAAGTGGGGAAAGGACTGTCTTTGACAGCCTCACACGTTTTTTCCCCTGTTCCTATCCCTCCGGCGATCCTTTTAGCACCTGCCCCAGTCCCGAGGTGTATAATTTCATATGCCAACTGATTGAGTGTCGCAGTTTTACTTGTGTGTAAAAAATGAAAAAGATTTTTATCTAGAAATCGGCGATAGAAAGGGAAATGTTTACCACGGAATACCAAATGAAACGAAGGCAGCACTTGATGTATCGACAAGATCAAAAGAATCTTACGTCGAGGGCTAACAAAGATTTACTGGGAAAAAGATGGTATTTACGTTTATGAATAACACTTGTTACTTACACAATATAATATAGAAATCATATTTCTTACAACATTTTATTAAAAAGAACAGGTTTTAACGAGCATAGCAAAGTTTGTACCAAGGGAAGAAAACAATTTAAAAAAAAAAAAAACAAGGAAAGATAACTTAATGTGCCTATTTATTTTTTATCCCCAAGAATCAAATTTTACCTATTTAATTTTTTGGCCTAGTACCTATACTCAAAGTTGTATTTTATTGCCCAGTCTATATTGTTAAAGTTTGTTTCAGATAATTAACATATTTTATTCTATTTTCAAATAAATAGTATTTATATTTAATAGAATGCTTGGTCTACAGGTTAAGTACCAGAAAATATTTATAGTATTGAACAGACGCAAGTGGGTCAGTGGAGTGTAATCCATTCCTCAGGAGATTGACCCACTGTTAGGACCATTCCCTTAAAACCCCAGCAGCAGACTGAAGAGATGCCCCAAGATATGGCCAAGACTCGGCTGAATTGCCCCCCAATTTTCACTTTTTGTGGCAGGTAAGTTAACAGCGAGATAAAAGAAAACCTGAGCCTGATTTCCTCTCATTTGTGGATTGCAAGCTAACAGTGGAAGAGAGCCACAGGACTTCCCCTCCAGACGCATGTGGAATACAATCTTACTGTTAGGTGTCTTTAAACAGGATTTATGTTAAACTTTTTATAAACCCAACTTGTTGACTATCCAAATGAAAGCCCTACAAATATTTGCCCAAAAATGATGCATGTTGTATATTTTGACAAAACTTATACGCATAATATTTATGGCCCCAAAAATAGCTGACATCAGCTAGTTGACCATAAATATTTGTGGGCCTAATATCTCGAAGGGAGTTGTCCAAATACGTTCACCGGAAAAAGGGACTGTTTGCATGGGTCCCAAAAAATTAGATTAACTACCCCTGGGCTAGGGATTGGGAAAAAGCATTTCCCAAAAGGACCAACAACCCACACAAAATTCAAATACATTTTTGGACGGAGCAGAAACACTTGCATAATTAACTGAATTTGTTTGCTGTCCTAACCGCAATTGTGGATTGACTTTTCCTCTCGGGTTGAGGTGGCAATCCTAAATCCTAACTAAAAATACTAAAAAAACAGTGTGTGAAAGGTGACAGCTTTGCTAAAATATACTATAGACCTTTGGGTTTTCCCTCAAGCTGTTTTTCCTTGTGTCAAAAAGGTAGGAGATATTAATTTTCACAAGGAATTTTCAGCTATCCCAAGCTTTTTTAGGATGTCTGGAAAACAAAAGAGTTCTTCGCCGGAAATTAATGCCTGCAAGGCCATTATCAAGAGATTGTTCTCCAGTTCCTACAAACATATAGCCTGGGTCTTCTACGAACCTCTGGATGCCCAGCTTTTGGGTCTAAACGACTACCATGACATTGTAAAGGAACCCATGGATCTATCTACCGTAAGACATCGTGTGAATGCGGGCTGCTATCAGAGTGCCGCGGATTTTGTGAAGGATGTGAGGCTGATTTTCTACAACACCTACTTGTATACGAATCCTGGCCACCTGTGCTACCAAATGGCCAAAAAGCTGCAGATTATTTTCGAGGAAATGTATGCCCAAGTTCAGTTATACATAACCAATGGCAAAGTAGTGAGTACTGAAAATGAGAGTTCCTCGAGCTCCTCGGATGAATCGGATGAATCGGATGAATCGGATGACTCGACATCGACAGAAAATGAACCGAGCACTCTAGAGGCTTACTCTTCCATTAGGAAAAATCCCCCAGAATGGACTTCGCCGAACTTCTCACCACCTGTAAGTCACCAGAATCCCTTCACTACCGAAGAGGATCTAGATTTGCATGCCAAGATTCAACAGCTGGACGGCGAAGTGCTGCTCCATGTGATTCACCTAATCCGAAGGATGGAAAACGCCGAAAACTGCAACAAGGAGCTGGAGTTCGACGTCTGCCAACTGAAGGCGCACACCAAGCGCTCCATCCTGGAGTACTTGGCCAGCAAGGGAATCACCGGGAAGAGAGTGGCCCGCAACAAACCCAAATACATCTGAGACTGAAATACCAAAGTGTTTTTATTTTTAACTATCCACCTTGCCCAAAAGCCTCTCCTGTTCCTTCCTCTTCTCACGGAAGGCGCGGTTATTTCGAAACTCTCCGTTCCAAACCTTCGCTCGCATTATCTCCTGCGGGTTCGAGGCTATGTAGGCGAAAAAGGTCCTGCGAGGAGGTCCCCCGGGCACCAAATAGTTGCCCATCGCATACCAGGCGGAACCGACGGTCTCCAAGTAACGCTCGTTTAGCTGGTCATGGAAGGTTTTCTTCACGATAGCAGCCTGCAAAGAGCAAGATAGATTATAATTACTTTAGTTGTTTAACCTTAAATTATTATATTTGGAATGTAATATACATTCAATTTGTAACTACTTTCGAATGACTCACCTTATTTTTGATCCGTTTGTAGTTGTCAAAGTTCTCCTGAGATCTGGGCAGACGATCAATACCCATGAGATCCGGATCGGGAGGACTGCTCTGGCATATGGTGACCAATTCGAAAATCCGGTTCGCCTCCAAAATACTCTCATCGAGCTCCTTCTGGCTGTAGGTCTTCCCGTACCTCCTCTTGACCCACTCCCTCAGGATGGGTAACTTGTGGGCCTCCGGCAGACTGGCCAGGACAAAGCGAGGTTCCTTGCGGAGGGCACGTAGGCCGTCCTTGAGCAACTGGTTCATCTGTTCCGCATTGTCGGGATCGAATTTGTTGGTCTCCTTGTAGGTGAGAGCCTTTCGCGGGGTCAACCTACCCATTCGCTCCATCTCGGCCCGCTTTATGGTGGCCTGCTTCTGCCAAATGGCGTTGGCACAGCGCACCACCGCATCCACAATCTCCGCCTTGTAATCCACACGGCTGCGACAGCTGTGGTTGCTTGAATGATCCAGGGTCTCCCGGCTGTCATCGGAGGTCATGTCCCCATCGAGATCATCGAATAAGTCGAGTGGGGCTTGGGGCTCTGGAGCCACTTTCTTCTCCGTTTCATTTTCCGGAGGCACCTCGTCCTCAATCATCATCTCCCTTATTAGGCAATCATAATTACAGTTATTATGCCCACGTTCCTCCTCCGATTTACCCAACGCCTTCACAAACGACTTGGTCACTATCTTTTTCAAGTCAAAGGGTCTGGGTTGACCGGTTTGGAAGACTCGATGGTACTTGAACTTGTAGGGCTTATTGGATCGCGGTCCTCGGAAGAACTTCTTCTTAACCGGCTTTGTGGTGGCGCGCATTTTGCACGTTTCGGAGTTCGATTGGATTTTTCCTTTGGCCAAAACAAATGATACAGCCGACTTTCTTGGCGCCGGAGGAAGCTCGCAATCCGTGGGATCTAGAATGGTCCTACATTTCTCCAAGGACTCCTCATTGAAGTCGATATTGTGCATACGGAAGGCACTGTTGGCCAGCTTGCGAGGTGGAGGCTTCCAGGTCGATACCTTCTTGGGCTCTACTTTCGGAGGTTCAGGCGGAGGCTCTACTTTTTTTGCCTTCTTACCCTTCTTGTCCTTATTTTTCTGTAAAGGAAAGGTTTAGATAGTTTTAACCATTATATAATGTAAAACAGATATTGTAAAGTGGTACTATCGATTTAATTTTTTTCGAGAACTTAAGATTAAAACTTACCGGCTTGCCTCCTCCTCCCTCGAGTCTCTTCCCCCGGTAAGTATCAATGGCTGCCGTGTGGGCCACGCTGATATCCTCGCCCACCAAAGCCAGATTACCCTGATCCTTGGGATCTGGCCAGGGTTGCGATACCAACATCTTCTGACAGAGGACGCAATCGGCATTCTCAATGGTCAGCACTTTGGTCTGGTCGCAGTGCATCGCGTTGCGATGGCGTGCCATGATTATATCGATGTCGTGCTCCAACTGGGCCACAATCCTCGCCTTCCTGAGTTTTCGATACGGTTCTGCCACGTCGAGGAGTTCCAGGCAGCGATCCCTTGCCTTGACCGCCAGTTCATCCCTCAACAGCTGCGATTGCACCACCTGACCTTTGTGCACCAGGCACATATTTGCCTCGGGTTCCCGACTCTTGGGCTTACCCTCTTCTTCCTCCTGATTTCCCTCTAAGCCACCCAGCTTAAAATATCGTTCCAGAGTCTCGGAGAGGGTTTTCTTGATCAATCGCTGGCCAGGATTCAGTCGGTATAGGGCATACCAAGGCTCCTCCTCGTCCTTGCCATAATTGGGTGGTCCGTTGTTGGGCCAAAACTTAAAGGATACCACGAAGTCCGGGAGCTTGGTGGTCAAACAGGAGGTCCTTTGAACGGGTTTCGGTTGAGTTTGGAAGTAGGGGGACTTCTTTGAGCGCTTCTTCGATGGACGCTCTGCTTCGCTGACGGAATCCAGCGACTGAGTTTCGAGCTCTGGTATTTTTTTTGGAGGTCTCGGCAGCACAGTGTCCAGACCTCGAATGGTGGCCAACATATCGATCTTGGCTATGGCATTCATCAGCAACTGTTCGTTAATGCTGTAGACACCATCCTTCTGGCACGTCTTGTAGTAACCCTCCATCACAAAGTATAGAAAGGCCAGGATGTTGTTCCTGCTCAGCTGAACCATCCGACTGATCTTCTTCTTGGATATCACCGGCTGGATTCCCAGGGCAATCAGGGCCTTGAACATCTTCTCACCCGTCCCCTGCTCAAAGTCATCCCGAAGGCTCTCCGACATGGCTAACATCACCGTCTCCTGTTGTGTGGACACGCCCATATACCATTTGGCCAAGTCCAGCTTCCGATGGAAGTCATTCAACTTTTTGTGGAAACTCATTCTGGTTCCGTGTCCAAATTTTGTACTCTACAATTTACAGTTTCTAAAAAAATAAGTTGCAAAAATCAAATGTTCTCGATCAGAACATATGGGGAATAAAAACTAGTTTTTGTGTCACGAGCTAAAGGTAAAGGCAATGGTTCTTATGATTAACTTTTCTACATTTGGACATAAGGATAAAATCTTTCCTACATTTTAAAACATTTATAGGGGAGTAGGTCCAGTTGTTCGTACCGAACATAGGAAACCAACGTCCAATAATTAAATTTTAAGAATCTCCTATATCATAACTAATAGTCAGATTTCTTTGGAATCTGTCAGATTCCATCTGAAAAATAAGGATTTTAAATAATTTCCAGGCATCCCTTGTCTAATACATCTAAAAAACAACCTTTTCGATGTTTTTCCAAAATAAAATTAGTTTGTTGGAAGCCTGAAAGTCCTCGTTGACCGTTGTTCAATGATACGTGATAAGTGTTGTTAAAACAATGGCTATAAGGATGCAAGACTGTAGATCAATGAGTGAACCGTGCCAATGTCCACGTTGCCGGTTTGAAATGCGTATGTCCAGTCACCTGATGAATTGCCAAGAAAAGTGCACCCCGTCCCTAAAATTCTGTAACATGGGTGGCTTGCCGCAGGAGAATCAACCGTCATTTGACAACTGTCAAAGACCTTGCTGGCCGAAAAGATCAGTTCCTCAGGAAGTTTCTCAGAATTTCCACCAGGGAAACTCTCAGAAACTTCCCCAGGAATCTCCTCTAAAATGGAATTGCCAGCCCCTTAGAAATATTATCTATGGGCAGCAGTCTCCTGGGCAAGCTAACCAGGAATATCGGCAGCAAAATCCACAACAAACTACACAGCAATTTTCACAGCAATCTCCTCGAAAGTGTTGTTACCAGGTGCCTCCTCAAAACTTCTGTCAGCAATCTCCGCGAAACTATTTCCAACCACCTCCTGGAATCTTGTTCCAGAAACATCCTGGAAATGTATGCCAAGAAGATTTCGAAAACGATCATTACAATGGACAACATAGAATGAGAAGAAGATCCTGCTACTGTGTAACCCATGAAATGGGCGTTCAAACGGATGAGACGGAGTGTAAGATCACAAAAGATCAGTCCCAGTCACCAACTCCCGAGGAGCCTAAGGATCCATCGGTTGAATATATAGCGGTCACCGAATTCACGACAAAAGAAGTGGAGGTCAAGCATCACACCGGCGCAAAGGACATTTACATCGAACGAGTTCAGTCCGTCAGCCATTTCCCAACAGGAGGCCATGAACGCATCAAAGAGACACCGACTAGAAAAGAGATACAGGAGGAAAAACCAGAAAATAATACCATTAAAGACGAGTCCAAAGAAGATAACATCATACCCCTTCGAGCCCTGCGCCCATCGGAGTTGGAGCCCATAATGGAGTCTGCAAAGGCGGAAGTTCCTAAAGTCGATTCTAAAGCCGAAACGGGTGAACTGCTCTATTACCAATATGAGACATTTGAGCGTGATTTTGGTGACTCCAAGGAGACTGTGAAGAAATCCACTAAGAAGGGCAGAAGTGCGCTGGGATCACCAGCATCCCGCTTATCAAAGACTCGTACACCCACTCCCCGATCTCCTATTTCCCGATCACTTACTTCCCGATCACCTGGAACCCGATCACCCATTTCCCTCACACCCTCCCGAGGATCTCCGACTTCCCATAAGTCCATTTACCGCACACCCAGGGAAGACATGAGCCGCTCTGAATCCGGAAGGGATATCAGTCCACCATTATCGCCCCAAAGCAGTGCTACGAAGTCTGAACAAAATACCTCTATTGGCAACGATGATGATGCAAGGTAGGGTTGGTGTAAAAAACTATCTTATAATGAACAAGAAAATTAAATACAAACATTTTATATTTTGCTTTTGATTTTTGTTGATTATATAAAGACAGTCCTAGAATGTTCGCTGTTCTTAAATTTTTTACTTAAAATCTTTAAGGTACCACGTCATTGATATTAATTTTCTTCCTAGCAAACCCTTTGTCATGTTAAGTAGTGACAATTCGGACGATAAAGATGAGGAAATTAAACCTAAGGTGCCAGAAGAAGAGGAGAGATTACCCTCTGACTACGACAATTTGAGCACCGTGCACGTGAGGGTTACCAATAGAAAGGAGGCTTCTGTAAAAAGGCCCAATGGCGAGAAATCGAATGACAAAATTACTGCGGTCTTCGAGAGCCGAGTTTCCGAGGTGCTTTTAAAGGAACAGGGTGAGAAGAAACCAGGTGAGAAGAAACCAAGTGAGAAGAACGAGGGTGAAAGGCAACCTGGCGAAAAAAAACCAGAAGAAAAGAAACCCGGTGCCAGTAGGCCAGAAAAAAAGAAATCGAAGGGCTTACCCCCGCCTAAAATGGAGATGAAGCGGGGCTATCCATCAAATGATTTGGTCTGCAGATTTGCAAATCCCCCAAAGTGCAAACCCACCTGCAGGAGCTTCAGGTTTCCCTGTCCGTCGTCCAATCCTTTTAAATCTTTCAACTCTTTTAACTCCTTCAACTCCTTTAAGCAATGTCCTTCCCGTTCTCCCAGCACAAGACAATATGATCCCATCTATGGCTTTGGCAGCAAGTGTATCGCTTACTATTGTCGATAATACCAAAAAAAATGTAAAACTGTCTTATCAACTAATGCAAACTAATAGCCAATAATAAAATAAGTAAAATATTCTCAACCTAAAATATACTTGTGGGGCTTAGGCTTTTGTTCCTTCAATCTCGATAAAAATGTATTCAATAAATGTCTAGCAATATTGATACCGTCTTCTATCGGCTGAGGATTAAAAATATATAAATTCTTAAGCCACACTTGCCCATATATTTTGGGCCACTTGGAGTCTTATCCGGCTGAAAGCTCTTGAAATTGGAATTTCGGAATTAGCTGCATTGGCTCTTTTGCAGCAAAAGTGCAAATCCTGGTAAAATAATTTGCGGTCAACGAAGCCACAGATCGTTAATGAAGCACTCTCTGAAATGGATTTTGGTCCCTGAATTTCAGTTAATGGTCAAATAAGGATGGCAATATCTTGTCTGCTGAAGGCAATAACGATAATTGGGATTTCAACGACCGAATGATTATAATATTCAGTTTGCCGACTCAATTGCCAATCATTGGCCAAGTCAGTATGGCCTAATGTTAACAGATGTTTGCATACTAGGCCGTTCTATAACTTATCTTTCGTTCAGGTGAATCTCTGATGGTTATTTCCTATGTTTGTCATGGGGGGAAATTGAATATTTTATCTACGGATATTAGGTGCCAGGAGTTGCAGCCCGACTCCTTTGCATTGCTCGATAAAATGTTTGCCATTTAATTTTTATTCGACCCTTCGATTGGCTGGTTCAGGAATAATTTAGCCATTTGCGCCCAAGTAAACAAAATAAAATTCAACAATGCCGAAAGCAGTAGGAAAATCTCTGGCCTCGCCGACGGATGTTCACTTTTGGCCACTAAAAGTTCGCTTTTCCACCTCTGCCTCTGGGCCATCATTTTATTTCGTTTCATGTTTTATTCACCACTTCCGCCGGAAATAGACATACGCCAGTGTGCGTGTGTGAGTTGGCCTAAACATCTGTCTCGTTTGGCAAGCCGATGGATGGATGCCATAGATTTTTGGCCGGGACCAGGGCCAACAAAGTAGAAACTGTTTTCGCAAACAAATCCCACATAAATGCTCAATTTATAACAGACCGGAAGTTAAACTTAATCAAGCGTACTTTTTGGCTTATTGTTTAGTTTTCCCTGGCCTTTCCCCCCTTTCGTATTTACTTAACATATTTTATTGCGATACTTCTCTCTGTTTTTCCCTCTATTTTCCCGGGGATTACAGGGGATTTTGTGTGCCCAAATGCTACGGAACACCATCTCCGTTGGCCGTGTGTGAGCCCCGAAAATCCCCTCTTGCCCTCTGAAACATTCATACTCCAAACTCCATTGTCGTAGGTTTATTCCGTTTCGTTCATTTCATATTTCGTTTGATAAATCTACGGCATCAAACATGGATGGATGGACATTCCCGTTGTCTTCTGAATTAGTTAAAGCGGTCGTAGGCATCAAACTGAATCGGTTTTACCAGGGATTTGCATACTCATCGGAGGCAACTGTACTTTTTAAAGGATTGCGCAAAATTCTGCAGTTATTTATGTGTCCTTTTGGTAAATAATTGAACAAGTACACAAAAGTTAAATGCGTAATATTTTATATTCTACAAATTTGCAGAAACATAAATCATTAGGCTGTTCGATATTTACTGAATAACCTATTAACACAAAATTACATTTTGCTGCTTCGAAAGTTGTTTATATCTATAAATAAAATATAAATTGTTTTGAAGCAAGATTAATTATTTCACTTAGCACCTATATACTGTTAACCAAATTAAATAGTTAAATTAATTATCTGCGTACTGAGTTCAAAATTAATTTATTTTCTATTCTTTTACCAGTGTATTTGAAACATCGAGTAAAGCCTAAAGGCCATATCAGTTTCAATCGTTAACCTCTTCAATAATAAATTAATTGGTCTATTTTGTATTGCCGGTGTTTTAAGTTACTCTGCTGATTACAAAGTATCAAGTGCCTTGTTTTGACTAATATTTCGTGAGTTGCACACATGCAATAGACTTTCATTTAATTATCCCGAAAACATTTGCATTTATTGTGGAGAGAGCCCCCCTCCAATAGAAATCAATTGTCAAACAATTAAACCGATGTAGAAGTCGGTGGGCGGATGCTCTATTTGGGATGCCAGGTGGGCGTGTCTCCCTGTTTGCCATTGTTTGTTTTCCTTCGCCCGGACCGGGATAAATGAACGCCTGGGCAAACAAATGCGGGTGGGTGAGCCAGGTGGGCCGGGTGGGCTAAAGGTGAGTGGAGGCTTCGGAGGCACTCTGCATTTGCTAATGCATTCGATAATTGCATGCTGCCGAATCAATGGAGGCCCAGGCACATCTCCTTCGGGAGTCGGGCGAATAATGTAGTTCCTCCCACCTGTCTCTCGGGCGGATTGAGTTCCCTTCCATGTCGGCTCAATTAGGACCTTATTGTTGTTTTGCCAATATGGGAAATTACACTGGGAAAATAAAGAATATATATAACATATGATATATGGTATGATACGATACGTTACGATATGATACGATATGATAGGATGTTATATGATATGATATGATATGATATGAATACATTTCCAATGGTTTTAAACCCCAAAGGTATTTACGAAAAACCAAGGAACATTACATTATTTATAAGATAAATTAACCTTTTTCTCAAGAAAGTTTATAAAAGTATCGTATTAAGGAACTTATTAAGGTATGTAGTTCTGTAAATGAAGTTGGGAATTATTGCGTATATAAACAAGAAGTTAGTTCTTTCAAATATTTTAATATAAAATAATTAATTTAAATTTCTTTCAGTGAAATCCACAATGCGGGATTAATTGAAGTGGCAGGGATTGTCTATCATTCAATCCCCGCTCCGAGCATTCAATGCCAAGTGCTGACGTACACATGTATTCCGTTCAGTTTGAATATTCCGGCTTCTTCTTTTGACAAAATTCTAACCAAATTAAACTATGTAATGATGAGGATACACCGGTTGCTGATGAACAAGTGCTCCTGCTACGGTCATGTGCTGCAGCGATCGATGAGGGTTCCCAGGCGAACTCCGAGCCCAGCGGGGAATCACGGAAGAGCTCCCCTCCAGGTGCGACATAGCTTCCAGGCTCCGCGGAAAGAGGATAATAGTCCGGGTAGATCACTGGACCTCGAGCTGGACTTCTCCGTGGCCAAGGATGAACCGCACCAGGTGTCCCTGCCCCTGATGGTATATGTCTACAGTCCGCTGAGTCGCCTGGCCACCAAGTTGTCCCTGCTCCGGCTGAAATTCATGTGGGATTGGGACTTCTCGGAAAGGCACTTCATAGATAATTCCCTCCAGGCGGCAGCCGTTTTCACGGACTTTGTGAGGCGTCGCCGCAACCGAAATGTGGAAAGATGCAGTACGCCCATGGGCTTCAAGCAGATCAAGCACGATCTACTGGACGATCCTCCCGACTGGAGGCTCAAGATGATGCGCTTCGAGAAGGTCCACTTCCGGCGGGCCATTCCTCTGAAGGTGCAGCTCCTGCGGCACTACGACCATCGGTTCGCCTTTATCGATGTGGTCTTCGTGGCTCTGCGGAGATCCAATGACTTCCGGTCGACAGCAGAACTTAAGGAGATGGCCGAGCTACTCAAGGACTATGTGGATCCCGCCCATCTAAGGGTTCCACATCCCCTGATCTTTGCCGAGGTCTTCATGCGCTTCCGGCGGGATTACTCAGTGGAACCCACCAAAATGGGCAATGTGCGGGACAACAGTCGCTGCATGGGCCAGTGGCTCATCTCCACCTATAAGGTGGTCCGCTTCGACATCCTCAACCACCATCCGCTTTTTGAGATTCCCCAGTTCGAGGAGTGGATGCCTCCGGTTATGACCAGGATGGGCCGCAGCCTGGATTAGAATGTGTTTACTTAATCATTTACTTGGAGAAGTATCCTCGTGCTGTAATATTTAGGTATAAAATTGTAAATTATTAGGTCAACCCTTCAAAAACAAAACTGCATATTAATTAATATGTAATAAAGCCGTTGGAAAACTTATCATAAGATATGCAAATAAGAGTGAGCACTTGAGACCTTTTTAATTTGGTATCGGCAAATCATAGTCAAAATATGTTAATATTTAAATTACATGACTTGAACATAGAATAGTTGTTGGTTTCTTCAATAACATTTTTTAAAAGAAGACTGATAATTTGTCTAAGACAAATGTTCTCCAATTTATAGACGTCTTAAGGGGTTCCTAGAAGAAACCTGATATTTTCCCACGCCAGAATTGTCATAAATTTGTAATTAACATTTGTCCCCGTCGCTGGCAAGATTCATGGGCGTAGTAATGCCGATATGGCCATTATTCAGTGGGGAAATCTTTCCAGCCAGCTTCCAGGAAAGGAAACGAGGGGCTACAGGTGCAACTCACTCACCTGGCCGCTTATCGGAACACGTTTCAGTGCAAGCCTGTCAATAAGTTGAATTTAGTATGCGCGTGAGTCCAAAAACCACAGATTGCAGGTTGCACCGTCGATGGGTGGGAAAAGGGCCTGGAAAACCCATTGATTTCCCTCTTCCTTGGCGCAATCTTGGAGTCCGCGATATGCCCCGACACTTTGCGGGTGCGGCTTCTGTTGCTGCCACTTGCCACTTGCTGCTTGCCACACTTTTCACTTTGCCGCTGCACTCAAATTTAAAACGTGCAATTTTATGCTTTTAATTTTCCGCTCAATAAAATCCTGTGGCTTTGGCTCGCACAAATTACACTGTAGGGAGCCATTGCCATCTGCTCCTCGCTCCTTTATTTTTGGCCCTTTCATTATTACGATGCAATAATGAATTTCTGCAACATTTGCTGCAAGGTTATTGTCCCTTAATCAAAATTGTGCGGGCATTCCTTGGGAAATTCCCCTGGCGAGCATTCAGCTGGAGTAAGTACCCATTTAATGAGTTACTAATTCTTGGGTGGACTAACTTTTGAAATAAATATTTTTTTCTATGTTGGTATAATAGGATTTTGTAGTTTAAGTAAACGTTTGCAAGCCAAAACACCATCGATTAATGGAGATTATAGATAAAGGATTCGATTTTCATGTTTTATTTTCTTTAGAAATTCCCCTTCAGCTGATGTAAGTCCCCATTTGATGATTTACTAATTTTAAGATAAACTTAAAATTGGCATTTTAAATAAACGGAATTCAAACTGACTAACTTCATTTTTAAACCACTTTGTATTACCACAATATTGACGTAGATTTAAAATTCGTATTTTATTCCATTTTAAAAACAATTTTAAGTACGTTTAAGCTTTTTCTATTACATCTTTAATACTCTGATGTTTTTTTTATTAACTAGCTACCCGACTATTACAGAGAGCCTTTTAGCTTGAAGACTTGAAATTATTTTCGAAATTGCTCTGTCACGTAAGCGGCGAAAACAAAGGCACTGAAACCCCGTAGTTAAAAAGTTTCGAGGGGCAAACAAAACTTGGCAGGGATTTGAAGGCCACGACCTAAGGACACCCTATCATCGGAAATAAGGGAAGTAAGGACCTGAACTCCTTGACCAAGCGGAAGTGCCCTATATAGGGCACTGGCGGAACGGATGGCTATGGCTCGGCACATACTTCAGCTCCAATCGGAGTAAAGCCCTCACCCGAGGAGCACTTGCTTGGAGCAGAGCAATGACAATTTTGTTTTCAACTCGGGACACTGACCGTAATGGGCAACAAAACAAATGACGGTGCCATTGACAGGACAGTTAAAAAAGGAGACGCGAACTATATCCTGCGATGACAATGACTTTTTAAATTGTTTCATGAATGTGTCAGTTTTGGTCAGAAAGTTTACTAGCGTGGCGCAGATGCTGGAAAATAAATGGGAAAAGATTCAGCCAGAGGAAAAGAGATGGGAAAACCAGTGTGGAAGGGGTAAGGAAGGGGTTGTGGAAGGGGTGTACACGGTGCAGCGATCCACTTGGTTAACATCATCATTATCGTGAGCATGACGATTACACGATATCGCTACGTGATAATGAGCATGAACAGGCGAAATCAGACTTTATGACTTCATTTACCACCCACACGAACACCTCTCCACTCACCTTTCCACCCACCCACTCTCCCATCGGCGTGTATGTATGTACTAGCGACTTAAATTGCAGGTGTGGCAACCACACCGCAGACTCTCAGTTGCAACACCTGCGACTTCGAGCGAAAACCACCATCGGTGTCAATCACTTGGCACTTTTCTAGCTGGGCTTCGCCTTTCGGAAAAAAAAACATTGAATTGTTATAAAAAGTAAAATAAAATATTAAAAATAAATGTTATTACAATTTTAAATGCCGATATAAACTTGCCAGTGAGAAAATGGTGGTTTGCTAACAAGATGTGAAAAGTGTATTAAGACAATGAGAATGGTACAGCCCTTTCACATATCGATATACTTATGACTAAATTAATATCGAACCAGTTCTTCAGCGAAACGCAGATATCTCATTAATTTATCTCCGTCCACACGTATCAACGATCATAATCTTTTTCTTCACGGGTAAAATTCTTTTGGTCAACTTGTCGAGTTGAAGAAGCTGGCTCTCGTATGAGTGCGGTGTGAATGATTCCATGAAATACAAATTTTTAGGTGTCTTCTCTGTAAGAATATGTTATCGAGAAATACAATTCTTGAAATTTGTTATTTCTTAAAGACTCGGTCACTCCAACTCTTTCAAATTGTTGTTCGAAGTGAACCCATCCCATATAACCGGTACACAGAACTAAGTATAGATATTTTTGGGTGTGCAAATAGTACATTAGTTTTTTAACCAAATGTAGACTTGAAATTTGCTTAGGTAGTTTTTAATCAAACCTATTTAAAAAATATGTTGTTAAATTTTGCACTGATATTGTACATATAATTAAATGCAACAAATTTAATTTACCTATAAAATGCTTCGATATACAGAAAAATAGTATCTATTAAACCTAAAAGTATTTTCATATTTATAAAAGTTATTATTCTTATTTATAAAATACGATAGCTGTTAAGAAATTACAAAAATAATATTTTTCGTGGCATATTGTGCAATCATATCTTATTGAATTCAAAATATATAAAATATCTCTTTTTGATAGAACTTAAAATTAACAATTTTGCAATCTCCCGTCTGTTTTATTGTAAAACTTGTTTCTAGCCACATGTACACGGTGTATATTAATCTATAGATCGCATCACTGGCCATCAGTATGCCGTGTCAGTTAACGGGACCCTGGGCTAAAGTGCATTTGATGCTGCCGCCTGGAAAACACCCGTTACCACCCACCAGTAACCACCCACTGCCCACCGCCCATCTGAGAGTGGGTGGGGCGTCCAAACATCGACATGCCGACACCGTAGCAGACACAATTAAATAGACATTCGCCGGCTTTGATAGCGCCATTTGGAGGAAGGGTGGTTCCAGGTGTTACGGATGGGTGGATGTGGATATCAAAGGTGTTCGAGTGGGTGGCTGGGTGGTATTTTCTTTTCGGGGCTGGGTTGGGGGAAAGCCATTTGTGTGCGCCCATGAAGAAAGCTACAAAACTTTATGCATGACATTCCAGTGCAGTCAACTCGCTAAATCAAATTGTTGATTATCCCGCGAAATCTGCAGCAATTTTTCATGGTTTCTTGCGGAAATTTCATTGGGAAAACTAATTCACATGCCGGCCTTTTCTTCTAGGAGAACCCAAACATGCAACTCAACTCAAATTCAAATTGATAAAGCACATTGAAAACAGAGAAGTAAACAATTTGGCATGCAAATTGGGGAAACATGCACTTCATGGCTGAATGCACTGCGAGGGCAGATCCTGTTCTTCTGGATAAGGACTTGATATATTAACGAGATTATGGAAATTAAATTTAAAAGCTTTACTATAAAGAATTTAGGCTTATTTTCTTTTGAATACCGTGATCCTAGGTACTTTAGTTTATTTTAATTGTTTGGAATCCAACTTTTTTGTTAATTTATTTTTGAAAATTTCCAATGCTTTTCATTAGGATCTAAAAAAATGAGTAGTTTTTTTCAATTACTGAAAAACACTATGGAATATTTAGACATGAATGTATTTTTTGTAAATAATTTAAATATATTTTAGAACAATTCTCTTTTTTGAAACTTGATAAACTTTTTTGTTCGATTTTTATTTGCATTACTGATTCGAAGCGTTTACCCCCCCAATAAGTAATGGAATGATATGTAACAAAGCTTAAAAACAAAGTTATCAGCGGAAAACTTTTTAATTACCCTTCGTCATCGATGGATTTTTCCACATATGCAGTGAGTAAGGGTACTTGCATTTTCCGAGGACCATCCAAAGGGAGTATGTATCTCCCATTTTCTCCAACTCCACCCACTTTTCACATTAATGCGTATGCATAAAACTTTTGCAGCACATGACTGGGGATAAGTATGGAAAATATTTAAAAGAAAAGTTTCGACTTGGAAAAACACTTGAACAGCTGACGACGACGATGACGACATTGGAGTGGAAAATGTGGGAAAGCTGGCGCCAGACTGCCGAGCAAATAATTTCAAATTTTCTCGCTAAAAACATGGCAAACATTTCAGTTTACGTTTTATTTTTTTAGAGCTACAAACATACATTTAAGACTGCAACTGGTTTGAAACATTTTTAATGAGCACTTCAATGGGTGCCGAGGGGGGCGGCAAGAAAATTATTTTACTTTACCCCAGTGGCTGATGAAAAATTACTTTCATTTTAATTAGGAGCTGCACCAAAGAGCAAAGTAGAAGAGAGTGTGTGCGAAAAGACGAAAAATTAAATTAAAAACACTTTTGTGCATTTAAGCAAATAAAGAGAGCGCGTCACACACATGCTGGGAAAGTCCCCTCCCGCTTTTCCAAGTGGGTGGTGGGTTGTGGGTGGTGTTATGTGTGGGTTTTCCCCTCCGACACAGGGTTATTTTTCCTTGTACGTGCCGAGCGGAGTTTTATTTTTTAATTAAGCTGTTTACATTTAGTCGTAATGTCCTTGCAGCGTCCCTTTATGGCAAGCGCGGTTTTTGTCGCCTTACCTGGCCACCCACTTTCACCTCTCCACCGCACACCTGACCCCACCCACTTTCGCCCGGCTTTCACCCACAATTGCAGTGGTCGCACCTTTGTGGGTCAAGTGAGCAGCCAAGTTCTTGCAGCTGTCGGCAGCACAATTAAAAATGTGCAAACTTGCATTATTAAAATAAAGAATTTCATTTCGCCTGACACTTTCCTACGCGGTTTTCCCCCAAAAAAGGAAAGACAAGAAATGTGCGAAAAACCTCGGAAAAACAGTGCTGAAAAATGTTCTTAATCAGTTGTTTACCCGCCATTTTTCAAACCCTTCTGGCCATCCCCGCGCAATTTGATTAATGCCTAGCGGGCAAAATCCCGACCTAATTGCAGCCAAATGTTGCACATCCTTTGGCAAATAGGCAACAACAAATATTAATTAAATTGAGCGGGCAAAGTCAATTAATTGCCACGTTTTTGGTTAATTAAAGTCATTGAAATATTTACATGTGTGCGGAAACATCGACCTATCGGCATGACATGCACAATTCAATTAATTAAAATGTTTTACCTCTGCAGGCACTTCGTGTTATTCTTTTTTTCCCTCCCCGATAATTGGCCTCAGGTGCGACAGTTCGTAATTAAAGGCAAGGCAAAAAGTGTTCGCTACGGTATAAAAAATAACCTCAATTATGTAATAGGAAATATCGATAACACATTGCCATGGCAATTTGGCCGACTACCAACACTGAAAGCGATTGCATGGAACAGCTGAAAACTAGTTCAGATCTGCTGAAATTTAAGCAAAGTTGAAGAAATAAACCTGCCGAAGTGAATCTTTCTAATTTAAGCGGTGAGTTGCTATATAATCGCCTTGGCATGCGATTTCTCGCCTGATTGGCATTAAAAGTGTGCAGAGCAGGTGATTTTCCCCATTTAATCGTAGAGCAGAGGCAGCATGGTTTCCTGGTCCTCAATTGAGGAAAGGAAAATGTCAATGCTTTGATTGAATCGAGTGGAATTCCAGGCGGAGCTGCATCTGTCTTTCGGTTCCCCATCGCAAATGGACAAAGGCCGTCTGCGAAAATGTGGCAAAAAGCCTTGGCCCAAAACGCGAAAACGTGCTAACAAAGTGGCAGCCACATTAGCAGCTCCCTTGGTCACTACCACTTTTCGCTACTGTCCATGGAGATGAGATGGACGCGTGCCTGTTTGTTGGTCAACAACAATCAAAGTGCATTTCGCATTGTTTGACGTGGAAGCAAAAGAGGGTCTGCCAAGGGGCGGTGCACCATGGGATTCGTTGCGCACTTCAGTGTTACCAGACCTGCAGATACAAAAAATTCCCACCCAGTGTTGTGCAGTACCCGGATACGTACCTAGACACCATTTTGTACCTTTTAACTTAACCTTAGTGTCCCTTTCCAGTGTTACCGGGCTTAAAGATTTAAAAGATACCTTTCAGAGTTGTGCAGAACCTATATATGTACCTAGGCACCATTTTGTGGTACCTTTTAACTGAACTTCATTGACATTTATTTGTCATTTTCAAAATTTATATTTAATTTTAAAACGTATATATTTTTTAAAAGGGTATATATAATAAAAAAACTTATAGCCACTTAAACCTATATCTTTATTTCATTTTAGATCATGTCCAATGGCCTTTCGAGGGACTGGCTGGTAGAAAGAATTGATTCAGTTTTTACGGATCCGAATGGAAGTGTATTTTACTTCATCAAGTTCAAAGGCCAGTCAAACTTGGAACAAATGCCAGCGGAAAAAGTCATGCGGATCATTCCCGACATGGTAATAGAGTTCTACATGGACCGCCTATCCTCCTGTCCCAAAAGCAAACCGACGCGAAAAAGGAAAGCTGAAGAGGAATGATTAGTAATATTAATTAAATTCAATTATACACCAACCGAAAAACAATGTGTGAGGATCCTTATTGGTGGGCGGGTGGAGTTTTCTTTTCGCGCTTTGCCGCCCGAATCGATCATGAAAATTTACGAGGCTGTCGGCCATAAAAGCCAAGCAGGGAAAACTAATTAGGCAGATATCAAATTCGGATTAATGGCTCTCAAAGTGCCATAAAATCCTGGGCGCAACAATTAGGATGGGGAAGTCGATGTGTATCTCCGGATATGTGAGAGTTGCCAATTGCCTTGGAATGCCGGCAAATATGTTGTGTCAACCATAAAAGCCAGCTCGCCGGCTTTCGGTATTTCGGCCATGAAAACCAATGCAAAGTCGTTAAAACCAACAAGAAGTTATTCCGCCCTCTGAAGATGTCGAATCCAAAAGAGATGATGAAAAAGTTTGAGGGGCTGGCAAGTTTGTTTTATGGCCGCACTCGGGGAATTACTTTCCATTTAAAAAATTTTAATCTCGCCCATAAATAAGCTGCTGCCGCCGCGTGGCATTGCATTTTCGCCCTCGTGTGTTTTTGGGCCAGCTAATGGACCCTACTTCACTCTGGGCCAAAGTTTTTAATTTAATGCATCATCGTAAAAATGCTATACTTTGTTACAGGGACGGCTGCCGACTGTAAAAATAGTTTGGTTTTGTTTTGACTTTGATTCCGCCGGATTGCCAAGCTGTCAGACCAACTTGACCTAATAAGCAACTTTCGCGTAAAAGTTATACAATTTCCAACTTGACTGTCCTCTACATGGTACACAAAAAATATATCTCCAAAAGCAGATGAGATAGAAATTTTAGGAATTTAAATTTGTGTATATTTTAAATAGAAGATAGTTTATTTACAGGAATAATAGTTTTTAAAATGTTACTCATTCAAAAAAGTTATATATCTCTGTGTTTTATTGAAGTTAGTTATGTGATGTTTTTAGTGTACTACAAGCTTGATCTAAAAATTTGGTCCCATTTTTCTTTGGATTTAAATTTTTTATAATTTTAGGCCAGATTTTTATTGGATTGATTTCAAAAATGATTATTATTTTAGGAAGTATTTTTTGTTGTGCACATTTTTGGAAAATTCTGGGACAGCAAGTGAATTCGACAAGCTAATCCGTTTTGCGGGCCTTTTTCAATTAAAATAAATTAAATGCAAATGTCAAAACTGTTTTCGGGGAATCCCCGCCGCCTTTTGGCTCCCTCAATTAGGCGCACTGTCATATTTCGCACAAGGCTTTGACAGGTCCGCGGGACAGATGATGAACTACAAATTGGACGGCGGTGGTTGGGGCTCAGTGGTTCGGCGGTTCGGTGGGTGGCTGGTATTTGATGCCCCATTCATCCCGCTGCATGGGAAAGTTTTCCGTAATTCCGGGACCAAGTCTTGTTGGGCGCCTTAAGCAAGCTTAAAACTTGCTGCCAACAAAGTTGGTGGGCTGGATGGGGCGGACAATAAGCAGTAAAACAACGGATTTGAAGGATTTTAAAACAATAATGCTAAGCGGCAAAAGTAAATAAAACGAAAGTGAAATAAAATATTCGTTGCCAAAAGTGCCTTAGATGAATTTTATTTTAGAAATTCCCAAAAGAGTTTTGTTTTTGTAAATCGAGAGCTTAAAAAGAACTCTTTGAAAAGATTTGGGGAATATTCTTAGGCTTGTCAACAAGGTGGTTTTTTTTTTATGGCTCAGGAAAGTTTAGTAACTGGATTGAGGGCAAAGTTATTCATTGTCTGGTATTTAGTTACTTTGAAGGGAAGAAGGAAGCTGGATTCAGTTTTGATAGTGTATCTATTGTTTAGTATTTAGTTTAGTGTTAATTAAGTTTTTTGTCACATTAAATTTCTTGGCTGTCACAGTAGTAAATTATATCTCTTTTTCATCCCCATCTCTGCAATAAATTGCAGACGGAAAGCTCAAGTTTGCCCAAATCCCTTACTCGCTCTTGACTTGGCGTCATTTTAGTCATTAAAACAGGTTCAGACTAAGTAATTTGCCAGCCACTTCAGGCTAAAAAAGGAAAGGGAATGGGGATACTTCCACGCTGCTGCCTTAGTTAGTTGCCCTCTAATAAACTGGCAGCGGAAATTTTTAACAAGTTGTTGCCAGTGCACAAAACTGGGCTGTAATTAACGCAGGACAGATGCCGCGAAGGGGGAAACGGGTAGGTTGATGGCCAGGAGGAGTTCGTGGAGTAGCATCTCGCCTGGGATAGACGAGATTTTGCATATCAGATTGCTGCCCCGGCTTCAGTTTGTCCCTGCCCTGTGATTTAATAATCAGCGCTGGCAGTCAAAACTATCCAGCAGCTACAAACAAGGGGAAAATGTCAGCTTTAGAAGTCGAATCTTTTAATGCACTTGCTAAATAGTATATCTCAACATGGTATAGTTTTTATTAAATCGTATAAGGACTCTTAAAAAGTTCTATATAGAAGAAGTACCTATCCAATGAGTAAAAATATTTGAAAATATTTTGGGATGACAAATAGTATTCCTGTGATTTTCATTTTATTTTACTTCTACATATGCTAAATTCTGCGAAGGTTTTCTTTTTAAGTAGATATAAAAGCCTTTCAGGAACCAAATATCTAATACTTTTGTTACCTACTCTATAAATAGCCTACAAATATATATGTTATATTATATTATTAAATTGTAGATAACTCTACAGAGTCTTGAGAAAATACAAACCATTTTTGTCTAATTTAACAGCAGGTTTCAATGGTTATAATAATGTGTCTGTTCTTAGAGCTTTATAAAAGTTTATAAGCCAGTTGAAAACATCGTAGACCTTTCTGTCTGCTATTCCATAAGAACTTTAATGTTATTAGTCGTGACAAAATCAAGTAAAGTTATTTTACATAAAATATATAATCCCTATGCAGGGTATGACAGCAGTGGTATTTCGTAGGAAGGAAAGGCTTATCCAACTCGGCTCTTTTTTCCCTCGATTTTTCTTCTGCAGCCGTTCCTCTTTTCCCTGATTTTCCGCCACCCCCTGCATTTTCCATTAGAAGGGAAGGGCAGGAATGCAAAATGCAATCGAAAGCGCGTGCAAAAATGAAATGTGCCAATGTGGCGGATGGGTGATGGGGAGTGGGGGGAATCAGAATCCCAAGTCCTCGGCAATTTGCATAAATTTAGATCAGTGACACATGGCGTCCGCTAATGGAGGCAGTGGGAGTGGGATCTGAAGCTGGGGAGTCCAAAAGCGGGAGTGGGAGTCGACATATATCAGGGAGCCGTACCCCACTCGACGACCCGCGGACTCAAACAGTTTAGCAAACATTTCCAATTGGCGTTTAATTAGCGGCTAATCCGTTTGCCACTGCCCCTGCAAGGGGGCGTGGTCGCTGCGAAAACACCTTCCATTTCTCATCCGTTTTTAGGCTGATTTTCGCATCTCTCCGCAGGTGGCGATGATGTCCCGTCCCGGGCAGTCCAATTAAAATGTCGTGTATCTCCGCGGTGGCGCCACCACTTCCCACTATCCACTGTCCACTGCCCACTGAAGGTCCATTCGATTCCACTTGGGTGGTAATGGAATGTCCAACGGCACCTCTCACCCACTAACCATGAAATGCCAATGGATTTGGAATCGGAGACTGGCCTTGCCACTGCGCATTACTCATTGAAGCGAAACTCTCATCGGAACGGTAAAGTTTGATGGGAACTGCGACTCTGATCTCATCTACTCTTTATGGTAAGTAGATTTACTTACTTGACCTAGATTTTTTATGAGACCATACACCTAACCAACCATAACTTATAGGAATCACACTTTGCTACTAAATCTCCATATATGTTTACTAGGTTTCTAAATAAGTTAGCTCTACTTTTCTACTTCCGAAGTTACGTCATTGATGTTAAGATCCTAACGTATACTATTAAAGATCTAAGGCGCATTTTTAAATCCTAGGTGCAAAAGTTAATAAAGCTAAAGAATCACTTTTATTCTAGAGCAATCTGTTAAACATATAATCTTATTATTACTTAAAAGAGTCATATTTTTAAACAACAAACTTTTCAAATTATATATCATGTTTATGTTAAGCAAAGAGGCAGAAAATAGGCCTGAATTTTGCTTCATGTTTTATATATTTTAGTTTCCTTAGAGAATTAAGTCCCCAAACATTGTATTTAGTTTTAATATTCCCACTACCCAATACACTTTTACATATAATGGCTCTGGAAGCCATTTGCGGCATGAATCGAATGCCCTTTATGAGGCGCTTCGATGATTTGCAATCCGAATGGCAGCAGGAGCAACTTCGCGAGGCCACCAGTAATTTTGAAAATCCCTATGCCCTGATGGCGCCACCTTTTGAAAGAGTGAGTATAGCAATATAATACTTTTTAATAATAATGAATACCATATTTTCTTGCAGCCCGCTGAGAATCTGCCAAAAATCCTGGACCATTGTAGAATTCGCATGGATTTTGACCATGGCACCACCACTTTGGGCTTCAAGTACCGTGGAGGTGTGATATTGTGTGCGGATTCGAGAGCCACCTCTGGACAATATATTGGTTCCCAGACGATGAAGAAAATAGTGGAGCTGAACGACTATATGTTGGGTACTTTGGCAGGTGGAGCAGCCGACTGCGTCTACTGGGATCGAGTTTTGGCCAAGGAGTGCCGACTGCACCAACTTCGGTACCGGAAACGCATGACTGTGGATACGGCAGCTAGGATTATCTGCAACATCTCCACGGAGTACAAGGGCATGGGTCTGGTGATGGGCATGATGTTGGCTGGCTTTGACGACGAGGGTCCCAAGTTAATTTACGTGGACTCGGAGGGCATGAGGTCACATGGCCAGGTCTTCTCCGTCGGCAGTGGATCCCCCTATGCCCTTGGGGTTCTGGACACCGGATACCGTCACGATCTCAGCGATCAGGAGGCCTATGATCTGGCCAGACGAGCGATATATCATGCTACAAGTAAAGATGCCTATTCAGGGGGAATAGTTCGCCTTTACCACATTAATTCGACAGGCTGGCGAAATATCTGCAACACGGATTGTTCCGAGCTCCATGACTCTTACTGTGGAACGGGGCACCTGGATAAAAAGAAAGATCATAAAGATAGTCCTGATAAAGATTTGCCCTGCTCCAGTGGATGGACCAAAAGAAAACTTACCGAAGACAATGTCCAGACTAAACTAGAAACGGTTTAGACAAATAATTGAACTAAACGAAAATTTCCTGTATAGAAACACTTTTTGGTTTATCTATGTACGAAATTTTCTATTTGTGAGCTAAGATCTCGTATATTTCTCGTATATTTATGAAATTATATTATTAACTGTGGAATTTAGCATTAAAAAAATATATAATATGAAACCATATGCTGAACCATTTATTCTAATCCTTTCCCCTTTTTAAAAGCATAGAAAATTTCAAAGTTCTCTCCACTTATGATAAAAACAACTTCTATCTACTAATTTCTCAACTCCCTGAGCCCCCCTCCCCCTTCACTGTGCAAAATATACGAGCAACTTTCGCTCGCCAAACGAACTTTTTCTATAAATCAAAATAATAACTTCTAAGCTCCGAATGACTTCCCTAAATGGGCGTGCCGCACACAAAATACGGCCAACGAAATGTTCCACGAAATGTTGCATTCTGTGTCTTTGGGTTGTCATCAACAAATGTTGCAGATGCCACTGCCTGGAGACCCTGTCCGGGGGCCCAGTAACTTGCCATTCCATGCCATCCCATAGCATCCCATCCGGAAAAGCGCAACCACAGACATTAGCAGGCGTAGGTCATCCACTCCCATCGCCCACTGGGGGGGTTTCCCATTCCAAGACTGCTAAGGCGCTCTGAGCATGCGATAAATTTAATAAATTACAAACCAAATCCGCAAATTTGTTGAATTCAAAAAAAAAAACACCAAATGACTACACAGAAGAAAATAATATTTAATAATACAAAATTTAGAAATTTGTTTTTGTATATATCTATTCGGTATTAGGCATCTGTGAATATTATAGAGTTTTATATTTATTACAAGAAATACAATGGAAAACAGTGTTTTATTTGTATAAAATATTGGTATGGGGTCCTCTGGTATTTCAATGATATGAAACAAAAAATATTTTTACTTTTTGGGAATGTTTAAATTATATTCTTTATAAATAAAGTATCTAAAAATCTTAAAGACATCGCTAGCATTTCATTAATTTATTTTATAATATGATTTCGATTTGTATTATAAAACAGGGGTTCCGTTTACGAATTTTAATATTTTTTGTAAGTGTTTGAGGAGTTGGTGGCAACATTTGCACGGCGTTTTGGGGCACATGTGAGTTGCAGCACGTGTGTGAAGCAGCAACTCAACGGGGGGACTGGGGTGGGGAAAATGGGGAGTAGGAACATCGGGGCAGAAGGCGTTTTGTGGCAAAAAGTTTTACTGTAAATTGCTTTTAATCTAATGAACGTCGCCAGCAGGAGCCGCCCGGAAAATGAGCAGGAGCAGGAAAATAAGGGGCGATGGGGACGGGAGACAACTTGGGTAACCCCCAAGTCCCCGAGAGTCATTTTTCCTCTGTGGTGTCATTAGAAAATTACTTAAAGCCAAAGTCGTGCGGCTCAAGTTCGGAGAATCCTCATTGCGGGTAAGTGGAGTAAAAGTGGCGGAAAAAATGCTGCAACATGGGTTAATGGGTCAAAACTATTTCCGTAAACGAGTATAATTTAGATTTCTGTAGTGGCTTAAGTTTAAATCGCTCTGAAGTGGCTGCTGTGATATTTTTAAAACAACATTTAAAGCACAAAATATTTCTTATAAATGAGTAACTGGTTTAGCTTACCTGTCTTGCCTTATGAGAGCATGATTATAAAGGCGAATTCTTTAGAGATTTAAAATATGATTAATATCTTTATTTTTTTGGTGAACACCTTGTTGGAGATTCGATATACACTGCCTGTTAAAAAAAATTAGCATACTTTAATAAAGTGGATGTTTTCACAGCAATGGGGTCGTTTTCAATAGCAGACTAATTGCGGCTATCAATTTCCAACAAATTAGCTGGTTCCCTTCTCCATTTCAAAATTTCCCCCAGCCTTCAGCTAATATGGCATAAAAAGCTTGTCCAAAAAAAAAAACAACCATAATTTAAATTAATTTGCAAAACAACGAGAGCAGCAGCAACAGCAAGTTGCAACACCTGCAATGTTGCTGCTGCAGTTGTTGCTGTTGCAGCCATTCCACTTTTGTCAACGAGCTCAAATTCAATGAAATTTCACACTTTGTCGTTAAAAGCGCGCCGCTTGGAAGAGGTGGAAAATCGGGGGGATTGGGGGCTGGGGGCGTTAACTGTCAGGCATAAGGATGCAAATATGCAAATGGATTTTGCCATGTTGCGAGGTGGATGAGGGCCAGTGGAGATGGCGGAGGAGGTGCAACCGAAGCCGGCGGAGATCGTAAGAGTCTGCCAGAGTGTTTGACAAGCAAGCGTGACTGTTCGTCGGCTCGGTGGGTGGGGATCCTGGGGGGCGGGGTGGCATAGGATGGTATGTTGCCTGCTGGTGATGATGATGTTGCCGCTGTCACAGGCCGAAGCTGCAGCAGCAACACTTGGCCAAGGCATTGCTCCGGGGGCAGGGACGGACAGACGGAGACAGCTGGATGGCTGCTCGGGAGACGGCGGATGTGGCAGCGATGCCTCGCCTGGCAGTTTCATTAACCGACTGAGGCGGAGGGACGCTGATATGCAACACCATCACCAAGACCAAGACCAACTGCAACTGCAACAAGAAGAGCAGCAGCGACAGCGAATGCAAATGCAACAGCAACATCATCACCCATATTAGGAACGGCAGCAGCAACAAAAACCATACACAGAGGAAAAGAAGCAAGAATAGAGTGAAGTAGTAAGAAAATATTGATAAGTTAATAATAAAAATTAAAAATATAAGAAGAACTGATATAAAATTGAACAATAACATTCAACCTATCTTAATATTTCAATGATATCTAAACTTTATAAAGAATTCTAATAATATCCTTGACACTTTTCGTATGGACGCAATTCCTAAGGAAAATGTACAAAGCCATTTATTTTATGGCTGCATGATGTTAGTAAATTACTTATAGATAAACTTATAAACAATTGTAAATTAAGATGATAAAGGCCTTCAATAGGGGATGATGGGAATAAGTTGGAGGTCTAGGTCTGACATTAATTTCAAGCATTTGTTCCGTATGACTTCCCCTTAAAGACATAACATTCGTCTTGCCTTAAAGTTGTTGGTGAGTTTAACAATCTTAAACCCTTATATCTAATTGAATGGCTTCGCCGTCCTTCCACCAAATAAATATTTATATTTAAGAACAAACAAATTTGCAAGCCATTTGTGCAGTGGAACAGCGGCAACATCTTCTCCGCCAGCAGCGTCAAATGCACTTCCAATTTATCAGCTCTGGGCTGCCAGTTTGGCTTGCCTTCTGGAGGCCCCAGAGCCCCCTGAATCCCCCTTTCCCCCGGCCATGGTACTCGTGCAACATGAGGCAACATCAAAGTGCAGATGTTGTTGATGCTGCCGCTGCTGTTGCTGTTGTCGCTGTCGCCGTTGCTGTTGCTGTTGGTGTTGCTGCTGCTGGGCGATGTTGCTGCTAGATGTTGCCGTTGTGTGTTCTCCATTTATTGCTACTTTGGCGGCAACTGCACATTAGTCGCATATCTGTTGAAATTCGCGGCAATTAGTTGCCGGCCCAGTGGAAAAGGCAATTATGGAAATCAGCTATCAAAGCCAGTTAATTATAGACCATTGAAATCGCCTCAATTATTGTACATCATTGGCCAGAATAAAACAAGAAAGCGGATATGTTGTCGGCCAGCTTATTGTGCATATGGCCACTTTTAACCAGTTTAATCGATTAAAGGAGGATTTCTTATTAATACGATATTTTTAATTCGCTGATGGGTTTATGCCTTTAACAAGTTGAATGGGTTGTAAGCGGATTGAGGCCATTAATATTTTGGAAAACAATTTTGTTAACTGCAATGAAATGATTTAAAATTTCTTTTGAATTTAAAAACAGCTTGTGAAGTTGGATGTTTAATAACCATTCCGCTTTATGAATTTTATTCATTGATTTGCCATCGTTAGTCTTGTGAAATTCAAATCGCTTATCGAGTGCTACAAGTGCCGGCAGTTAAACTGTGTCACAGTTATATCATTATTCGCTTATTCCGCTGGAGACAAAAAGGATTCATCCCATCACTTCTCATCCTTTTTTCCCGGCAATTGCATTTTGTGTAGCGACAACGGCTCATTGCAGGCATTTTTGCGCAAATCCTTGTGATTGCAATGAATAATATTTTTAATGCAAATAACCAGAGGATAACTGGGGGGTTTCAGGGCGATGTAGCGGGACGAGATGACATTCGCGTTGACAGGCAGCAAGAATGGCAATGAGGACCGACAACTGGGAAAGGACTTCACAGGGAGCTCAGCCAAGTAAGCTGTTCTCTGGGTCCTGATTCTACAGAACCCCCTCATTTTACCCCCTCCTCGACATTTCATTCATTTTCTTTTCAATTTCAATGCCCGTCAAGATTGCAGCACCTCCTTCTCCTCCTCCGAAGTCCCGCCCCTGCTCTATTACCCCTTTTTGTGCCATCCCATCAGCGTTCTCATCTTTGTAGTGGAAATCGTCCCATCGTCCGGTAATGAAATTTTACTCATTGTTTTCCAGTTTGGCACTGGCAATTTGCCATGGAGCTGTTCTCAAAAAAGACAAAAATGATTGGAGTATGTCTCTCATAAAGCTGGCTTTCAATCCTTACAAGTTCAGTTTCACATCCGAGAATGTTTTTGGAAAATGATATTACAATGTTTTCATTCTGTTTCTGTTCTGTACACTTTCTATAGAAGGAAGAGAGGAAGTCGATGAAATACTTTTTCCCATTATCAAAATTAAATTGTTCAATGGTAAAAATAATACGTTATAATTTCATAATTAACCATTTAACCCATATGCTTAACTAGATCTAAGAAGCATTTCTTTATATCATTCTTATAAATGATTTTAATACTTTATCAAACAATGGCTAAAAATTTTTATAGATGTGAATCCGAAGTTTTTAATTTTTGTATTTAAAATTTGTTTACCAGAACACCCTCTGGAATACTTCCATGCCCAATGGAAATCCCTGCTCATATCTTTTTTGTTCATCGGCTTGTCAGCATTGTCATCGTGAAAGTCGCTCCGTTGCACTTCTATCATTATCGTCATCATCTGATATTCATTACAGTTGCAACATAAGAAGATTGGGTGCCGAAGAGGGGG